TAGCGATTCTGAAAGTGATTCGGATATAGATTTGGCGTGTACTCCTTTGGAATAAATGTATCTTAGATTAAAATATTCATTTTAGTGCCCTAATTATATTCCAATTATACATATAATTTTAGCATCGATATAATTTTGTATCATGACAACCCTAGAAATGTCAGTTTGACGAATGTCGCAGAGATCAAGCTATCTTTTATATGGTATAAATTACATTTTTTTAATTCATAGGCAAACTTTCATCATTCAGCACCCAGCGCCATTGATGAACTACCTGATAGTCTATATTCTAATTTTGGAAAGTACTTATTTATGGTTTAGTTGGAAGAAATGATTCTCACTTTGACTATATTATTATAAAAGTATCATATTGCAAAAGCGATAAATATTTTGATACAGATATCAAAAACATTATTATTATTATTAAACAAACTCAAGTAATCAATGTAGGAGTCCATAGCATGAATGGACCGTCTGGAAATAGAATGTTACTACGATCTCATAGAATATCAGTTAATACCATAAATACAAAAATATCGTCGTCTCTCATCTATCCCTTCCCAATCCTTAAATATCCGCAACCCTTATCCCCAAAAGGCTGGCAACGCACTCGTAACTCTTTTCGTGGTGTCCATGGGCGGCGCCGATTGCTTACTATCAGGCAACCGTCAGCAGACACACAGTTAGTTTGCCGACTTATTCCATAAAAAAAAAACTCATCACACAATTACCTTGACCATCTACAAGTAATCTGATGGTAGCAAGCAGCTTATAGGCTACGTGGTGGTCTTCAGTTGTAGGCAAGGCATTCAATAAGAGAGGGGCCGCCCTCCCCTGCGCCGCAGCGACTCGCTTGTTGGCGACCGGCACGGCCAAGTTCCGCAGCGACGATAAAACGGCGTGAAGGAGTTTAATCACTGTGATCGGGTCAATAGGGTGCTTTTTCTCTGGTTCCTTTTGTATTTGAATGCTGAAGTTGTTGTAAACTTCGAAAATATCTAGAAAATATAATTGATTATTATACATAATGATTGCCAAGTTGAATTCTAAAATAAAAAATACATGTACAGTCAGCACAATAATTTTGTAGGTATTTAGATAAGAAAAAATTTTTTGGGTTGGAATAGTAGTTATTTTTACACTAAATCCTAACTAATATTATAAATGCGAAAGTAACTCTGTCTGTCTGTCTTTCTGTCTGTCTGTCTGTCTTTTCTTCACGCCTAAACTACTGAGCCGATTTCTGTAAAATTTGGTACAGACATAGTTTGGAACTCGAGAAAGGACATAGGATAGTTTTTATTCCAAAAAATCTGCAGGAAGTAACTTTTCCACGTGAACAAAGTCGCGGGCAAAAGCTAGTTATATATGTTTTTATACCATTAATTGGCTTATAACGTACGTTGTTCCGGATCTGGATGTGATGTGTATGCGAAATAGTATGTTTGTTAACGCACCCACGACACAGGAGAAAATCCTAGTGTGGGGAAACATTTTCTTAACAAAAAAAAAAAGGTTTTTCTTTTTTTTTCTGAAAAATGTGTCCCCACACTAGGATTATTTTTCATTTTTGTGCAGAAAAGTAATAATAAATAAAAGGTATATAATTATGAACTCACCCAGCAGCTTGTCAAATATTTTATCTTCCATCATATGCGTGCAGTAATCATCCTGTCTGGCAAAGTTGCCTATAGCCAGCACTGCAGTGGTCAACAACTGATGGTTTGGGGAGTCCAGCCATTTCACTACTGTTTGGTAAACCTCCGACACGCCTTTATTATAAAGGATATGCATTGCTTCATCTAGAAAGATACATGGGAAAAAGATCTTAGTTGGTGATAGTATTTTGTATCTTAAATTTCTTATCATTATCTCAACTTTTACTATGGCATTGTTTGCATATAAAGCTATCATTAAAATTGTAGAAAACTATACACAAATAAAGCAATACTTTTATAAATGTTTACTAAAAGTAGCGAATCACTTAGCAATTGGGTAGTTTCCTAGGTCAAAAATAAATTAATTCGATGTTTCAATACAATTAAATATTGAAAAATAATTATACTTTTATTCATTGATTGATCAATATACAAAATTTTAGATACCAATTCTGTTTTTGTTGTACTTATTATTGTCAGGAAAAGGTTTAAGAAAATTATCAGATCAATAGAGGGGAAAAAATTGGGCAAAAGTGACCCTTTCGTTGTTAGCGACATAGTTAAGGCATTCGAGGCTAGTAAATATGTGAATGTACCTCCAGTCAACACAATGATGACTAGTTCACAGGCTTGTTTCATGAGTGCTTCTACTTCTGTATCTGCAGCATTAAGTTCCCCCGCAGTATGTCTGGACACCAGCTCTTCAAGGCGACTGCAAACTAGCTGCACACCACCTTCTTTAGCAATTAATGTCTTTACTGATTCTGTAGAAAAATAAAATATTTAAAAAAAAAATTCTTACAAAGTTTTGACTTGTAGTGTTTCCTAGAGGTTCATTAAACTTTATGTATGTGTATCTAATAGTTGTTTTAGTGGGAATATGGAGTCTTCATTTTACCTGGGAATTATATTAGGTGATCATACCTAATAAAGTTCAAGGTGTTTGTCTCCTATGACCACGAATGGAAGGCAAATGAATTGAGTTGGCTCAAGTAATACCCTTTATTTATTTAATAGTACGAACCAAATAATTTATAACCAGTTGGGTAATTTCCAAGGTCAAGAATAAATTAATTTGATGTTACAATATAATAAAATATTTATACAATACACTAAGTTGTAGGTATTTTTTAGTTTTTTTTTAAGAAATAAGTAATGCATTTGATGGTAAAATACTATGACGTCACAACTCAGTGTTTCATTCAAATTTCATAGTAAAGTAGCATTTCTGACATTTGGATAAAAGTATTGAATTTGACTAGTTGGAAACTACCAAATTGTGTTAGGTTGCCCTAAACTGTAGAGACAGCAACCCATCAAATTGAATGCAAAATCTATACTAATAATATAAATGCAAAATGATCTAATAAAAATGTATTTACTCAATAAGTTTGTAGATTATAGTACTAATCCTAATATTCCTCGCTTTTCCTTATGATAAACTTACCATGCTCAGCCTGTGAATGCAAATGATCCAAACAAAGTTCTGAGATCTCCATATTGAGGGAATCTCTCAGTACCTGCAATATGGTCTTGTTCACCATTTCACTGTACAACAACTCAGGTGTGTTGTCATTAATCACACTCAGTATCAACAAGCAAGTGGACAGTGTGTCATCATCAAAATCATCCTTTTTAAGTTCTATACTTAACATCCTCTGTACCATGTCAACTATTCCTGCTTGAAATATTATATCTGTAAACTCCGCACCACCAATAGCAAAGTTCAGTAGCGTTTTACTAGCCAATGTTTTTATTTCATCTAGACGCATGTCAATACTTCTCTCAAGCAACTTTACAAGTAGTGGTATACCCTCCAAGCTCACAATGAGTCGCCTAGATGTGTCACAGTCACAGCACAGATTGCCAAGAGCCCTGCAGCACTGTTTAACCATTTCAATGTTATCTGATACGGTTTCTTTCCTCAATATATCCAAAATAGGCCCAATGATGCTTTTATTAGCATATGAATCGCGTTTCTGTTCACATTTTACAAGTTCCGCGATCGCTTCTATGGACAACTGCACTATGTCTTGATCAGTGCTGGTAAGCAAGACTTTCATTGAGTCGGATACGTCATATTGATAATCTTCCCCCGCTAGAATTATGCCACTGAGTTTTGCCTTCAATTCGTTGACGTTAGTAATATTTTGAATCACCAAGGTCTCGAATGATGTTGATTTTTTTGCTGTGTATCCTAAAACAACAAAAATATTTAATAACAAAATGTACTGCAATACAAAAGCCGACCAATACTGTATCTCTTACCGTCCATTGTTTAGAAGTAAGAATTTGGTTGGAAATAGTAAACGAAACGTAAACAATGTATTTTACAGAGTGGCAGTTTTATTACAACTCATAATTTAAAATATTTTAATAAAATACAAAGTATGAAAATTATTTGACAATCTCAGAGCCAATCAATTGAAGACTGTCAATGTCAAAAACGTTTTGTTTTTGTGCCCAAATGAATTAACAATTAAATAAATTATTAATATAATGTAGGCATTTATATTTATTTTTATTACTATTCTGATTTCTTATAATTATGCTTAAGCATATGAGAAATCAGAAAGTTGAAATATTGAAGGACACATATCATATTGTCGTAAATATAAATTAAATTAAAATATCGAAAACTTATCCTGAATTAAATTAATTATAAAAAGAAAACTGGATTTGTTTATCCCAAGGATCGTATTTATATCTAAAAGGAATTGATTTTATTGATATGATATTGATATTGATAAGTATGTATTTAAAACATAAATTGTACCTAAGTAATTATTTTTATTTTTAAAGAACGAGTCTAATTGATGGCCACTTTCTGGTGCTAATCATGATTATTTCGTTCGAACATTATAAACGATGAATTATTTTTTATTTGTTCTAAATTGTTGATTTTTGAAGGTTCTTCAGGAATTTTGCATTTTAAAAAGTAACGAGTTGCTGCATAACAATGGTAAACCCTAATTAGTAAGGCCCTCTCGAATTTAGAAAAATCATTACCTACTTAATTAGAAAATAACCAATAACGGTAATTGGTTTTCATAACCTTGACGGCGCATTTTATAACTGTGCCATGTGGTAGAAAATCGTATGCGCACCTATAAAAAACTCGTAAAATATCGTAGACCATATTGGCCATTACCAAAGAATGGCAATATATATCAATGAATTCATGTTTCAAACCTACTCCGTTGCCGTAAATAAAGCAAGCCTCCTGTTTTTAAAGAACAATAGTAATTGTTTATAATGAAATTAGCTACGGAGATATTTATCGTACTCAGTTGTACAATAGCTGTACGTTTAGTAATTGCTCGAAATATTGTCAAATTCAACATGAAGAAGTTCTATCCCGATGAACAAAAAGTACATATGTAAGTTCTATGAATTTAATTTATATTTTATTTTAATTTCACATAGTTCTTAGAATAGGTATTAATAATATAGGCAATGATATTCATATTTTACTAATTACCACTTTCAGGATAGATATGACAGGCTATGATAGAGCAGCACATCCAGAACCTTTGCCAACGATGGCGTCAAAAACTGGTTTTATTACGTATTCCAGTCTCCACCAAGGTGTGAAGTTGCGAAATGACGTGGTGGTCTATAATCAAACATTTAATTATAACGGCACCGAAGAAGGCCAGCGTATCCTATGTCAAGCGTTGTTCGATTGTTCGGTGAGCTTTAGTGTACTTATTAATGAGTTATCAACGCCTAAAAACAGGTAGGTACCTAGTATCTTTTACAAATCCTATAAAATACGAGGTAACTAGTTTTTGGACAGCAGCTTGGCCCAGAAGGCTCAAATTTAACATTTTACTCTCAAGGCCCGTTCTAGACACGGAGAGGGTCTTGGACAATGCATTTCCAGGTGTACCTTTACCGCAAATAGCGGTTGAATTCAAGCGATTTTGACTTATTGTTGATCCAAGACAGTATTTTCCCGATTGAACGCGCGAATCGTCTTATTTTATTTTAGGCAATTGCTCCCGATCCCCGACTTTTGCCATTACCTACGTACCTACACAATTAATTGTAGTTTCTGTCAGATAATGAAGATCATACTTAAAATCAGTTACCTAATAACCATAATTATGGCTGGTAACTACTTAATTAAGATAAAGTCAAATAATCGGTCATTCGTTTTTTTTCTTATTTCCAACAATTTCCGAGTAAGCCAAATCACGTTAATTATTGTGCAATAAAAACTATAAATGCTGTAGCAATCAAAGTCGAATCGATTACTGCTGAACATTAAAAAAATCTCAGGCACTTCTTTTACAATGCGTCCACTGCGGACCGGGCACGCTCTAATACCGCGGCCCCGGCGTCAAGCAGGAGAAGGAACAGGTTGATTTTAGTGAGAGTCTGACATTCCTTCTCGCCTTACCTTGGGCGAGAAAGACATTTGATGACTTCCCTCCTTCAACAATGCGCAAAAAAGGCTTATTAGGTGCAGGTTCTTTTTAGTGTGGGAGAGCCATGCTTCGGCTCGAATGGGTCGGCTCAACCGCAGTGATACCACGGCCTTTCAGAAAATCGGCGTGATACAACCACAGCGTTGTGTTTCGCTGTGTCAATCCCTAAATCCCCAAAAGGCCAGCAACGCACTCGTAACTCTTCCGTTGTTGCGGGTGTTCGTGGGCGGCACTGATTGCTTACCACCATGCATACCGTATCTCGTTTGCCCTATCACGTAAAAAAAGGAGATACATTATTTACCTCGTAGTCTTTTAAAAAAGAGGTTAGTTTGATTAATTTCGATCAAAGTGTTCGTGTTCGGAATGTTGTGAATTATTTACTAAGTAGGTTGTAATTATAAACATTGAATCGCTTTCTCCTCTACAGATCGCATATTTAGTGTTAGAGTCATCGGAGGCAATTCCCGTGCTGCTGAGAGGAGGCGTCGGTTACAGGCACTTTATGGCGATCATCAAAGCAAAACCGTACCGCGTTCTCAGAGGCAATGTCCAGGTTTTCTGTCGGAAAAAGGATGGGCGACGTTACGAAACAGGGGCCAGTGCCAGTGGTACGAAGAAGGTGGAACATGATGCAGCCACAAACGATTTAGATGTTGATGTGAGGAGTAATCCAGTGGATCAACCTGTCGCTGCTACTTCAAATAGTTCAATTAATAATGTAGTAGCTACAAAAATTGAGGGAAATAGTACATAAGTGATATAATTGTGATAATTGAATTGATATAAACTTAATGAAATTTTGCAATTGAGTCTTTTACTAGCAGTAACGATTAGATGTTGTTTCTGAATTTCATTAGAGTTCTCAACAAACATTAAAGAATTATTAGAAAGTCATGCTTTGGGATTAGGTATGTGCTTGCTCGCTTCTCATGTATGAGGGTGCGGCTTCGAAACCTGGCAAGTACCAATGTGACATTTTCAGGTTCAGGTTTTGGAGATTTACGAACTGGGGAAGGATGGGGCTTCCCGTAACCTCACTCACACGGCGAAACGCAACGCTATGGTTGTTTCACGCCGGTTTTTGGTGAGGCCGAGGTATCACTCTGGTCGAGCCGATCCATTCGTACCGAAGCATGGTTCTCACACATTAATGTTTCATATTTTGTATTCATTTTTTTCTCAACATTATTAAGTAGGTATATCAGTGTGCTGCACTTATATGACACACATGCATATTATTATCTATAAGTTGTTTATATACTTAGTCATAATAATTATGTGATTCGTAAGCAAATAATAAACCTTATGTCATATTATAATTCAACGATAGGTAATGACAAAGTTCAATAACATTCTTGTTTTTTTTTGTTAAGTAGATAACCATCGTGAGATATACTAAGTTTGAATATAGACAATAGCGTCTTTCTTACGTAAATTAAATGAGGAAAGCTCAACTAATTTCAATTCACAACGGGACTCTTGTTCATGAGCAGCGTGCGCGTTGCGGTGACAGCCGTCGCGTCACGTCGCGCAGCTGACTTCTCGGCGTAGTTTTAAACTATTCGCTGAAATTGTAAAATAATCACAGAAGGCCTACTCCTTTCCCAGTATCCCATCTCTCCCCAATCTCTAAATATCCGAAAACCTAGTCCCCAAAAGGTCGGCAACGCACTCATGTCCTTGGGAGGCGCCGATTGCTTACCATCAGGTAATCAGTTTGCTTGTTTAACTGCATCGGCCAGTTGCCTGGTGTCTACATCGTAAATCGGACGGTTTACCAGTACTTAGATTAATATAAACGTCCATAATAATACATTTCATGTCTTTTAAATTTGGAATGGTTTTTTTAATTAACCGTGCCTTTGTTACCGTATTTGATTTGACATGATTGCTTTAATTAAGCGTGCCTTTAATTGTTTAAACTTTAAAATTATAGTAGGTACCTACATTAGGTTTCTAGTTCATAGTTTCCATAGATACCTATCAAAAGATTGACTGTCTTAGACAAAATCAATTTCAGAACAGTATACTAACATGTAAGTACATCTACATGTATATCTAATCCTTCTGTGAAGGACAAAATAAAGGTAAGTAGATACCTACATGGTATATGGAGACTTGAATCATTTCAGTATTATTTAAATCTTATATAATGGACCGGTGAAATTGTAGCACAGACGCAGCTGAGCAGTCAAAATGATTCAGAATGAATAAACGGCAACAGGTGAGACTAAAGACTTCGGTACGTGGGACACATCTACCTACATACCTACTTTTATTAATAATTACACTTTCTTAGTAACCTAAATGTATTTATTTACTTCCGTAAAAATCAATGCCACTTTTCGTTGTAATCAACAATGCCTTTACCGATTTAGCTTATTTTGATGGAAGGCCAGGAAACGTTTTACGTAGAAAAAATAAAAAATGAAACTTGAAAAAGTGTAAAATCGACATTCCCGCGGGCGACCGCAGGTAGGTATACCTATAAAAATGCATCCCAAAATGTGTTGGTAAGCGCCAATAACTCGATAACGCCTGGACTAATTTTGCAATACCTATTTTTTATGTTATGTTATATGTTCGTTATATTAAGAAGAAGGTTCTTACGAAAAAAAAAATTGAAAAGTAAAGGGCAATTTTGGGGGATGGTCGGATACCCGTGCGGTCGGTCTGCTAGTTACTAAGAAGATATAATTATGGGATTGAGTGATGAGAAAGGCATATTGGTACCAATTTTTTCATAATATTATAAAGTAAGAACATCGTAGGTACCTCAGGTATAATAGTGGCACCTGCTTCACAGAATCTATGAGGGCACGGATTCGAAAAAATAGGTACTAATGTGCCTTTTTCATATCTTATATCTTCTTAGTAACTGCTTCTTTCTACGCACGGGTATCCGACTATCCTGGCTTTTTAATGCCCCAGAGTCATAATTCGTAAAAACTTCTTTCAATCAAATGACTTCTCCCGCCCAGGTTGGAGCGGGAGCGAGTGTCAGACTTTTACTGACTAAAACCCCCCGTTCCGTCTCCGACTCTGGGCCGAAGTCGCGGTGCCTCTGCGCTTACCCCGTAACACCGGCTGACTCTACAAAAATACCTGCTGCACCTATTTCCTCATACCTATACTTCGCAAGTAGGTATACTTATGGATTAACATAAAATTTATTTGCATAAAAATATAATATACGAAGAAAGAAGGTACAAGGGTACAAGAATACCATTAAAGATTAAATAAAACATGTTTTTGCTAAACATTATAAGCGTGAAAATGTGCATAAATATAATAAAAAACCATATTGAAAACTTCTTGGACACAGTAAAAATTAACTTTTAGTGGACAGCCAATCAAGCATCTTAGGATCTTATCAAATATTTCTATAACCTAAACATTATAAGTACAAACAACTCTTTTTATATTTGTCTTCGTCTTGGAGTTACATCGAGCACGTGAGAGTTCCGCCAGTTTCGTGGACTAATATCGTCTAATTTTGTAAATAATACCTAATAGGTAATCGAACATCGAGAAAAATCCTGTTCCTACAGCCATGCCAGCAACAAATCTCCATCAGAACAAACGTATAGTATCGATTACCGTTCAATAAAACAACGGGTCGTTATTGGCCGGTAGTGTCGACAGTCGACGCGACCAAGTGGAGCGTACTAACAATTAAGAGTATTTGGTTCCCGCAGGATTGAAGCGGTTTTAACTAACGCATTATGTACAGCGAGTTTCATTTTTAAAAGGCCCTACATGTGTGCGGGAATTTATATTTGTTATTATGATGATATTTAGCAGGACATGGATGAACTGAACCGGATTATGATATTTATAAAATTTGTTGTCCAACGATCGAGTTTGGGGTCAAGCGCAATTATGAATTGCGACCCCAGCCTGGAGCAGGGGGAGCAACTGGATGGTTTTTAGTCAGTTGGACACGAAACAATTGATGATTTTTCCCCTCAACAAAAAAACCATTAGCAGTTCGTAGTTTGCTACCATAACGAGGCTATTTCTTACAAGATGTTTCTTTTAGTTTATACATATTATTAGTTAAACTAAGATTTAACTAAGTTAAAGTCCTTTGTGAACCTGTGTTTAGTATTTTAAAACTTACCCTTACAGAAAGTCAAAATCAAATGTGATGCCTATATTATACTAAATAATACTGATATCGGGTAGGTAGAAGAAAAAAATTACGACTGAATAGAATACGATTGCGTCCACATTACGTCATCTAGGAACACAATTAGAACCTACTCAAGAGAACCTACTGATTAATCTGAACAACGTCCAAAACAGTTCTTAACTAGGGGGCCCAATGTTAAAGTCACTATCAATTAAAACTACCGTTGCAGATGTATAAGTACGTAGTTACATAAGACTGAAAAATAAATCTACCTAGATTCGTTCGTTCATCGTTCATTCGTAAACCAATGATGTAATACATAATATAGTCCAGATTTAAACTAAATGAATAAACCACATCCTGTGTAGTGCAGTAATTCTTATAGTTATTAAGAAGTAGCTGCGCTATCGGCTCCTGTACAATGTCACTCGGTTTAGTGCAATACCCTCGAACGATTTGTATCAGTTTTTTTGTTGAAAACAATTCGCTGATCAATTTAATATTTATTTTAGTTAATAAATTGCAGTGAAAGTGCGAACTAAGTATGTATTTGTGTGGGATTTCGGATTTCTTTCGGAGACGACGGCCGTATATTGAAAGGGTGAGTCTTTTTATTAAATTTTTTATTGAAGATGTGTTTTTTTTACTCATAAGCACGGTATATATTATCATATAGTGTTACCGCGTCTACAGTGTTGTATTTTTTATTTATTTATGTTTGTACCAATAAGACATCGTTGCGTTTATAATGATGAAGTTTAAACATTTAGTTTGTGCGTTGGCCTGTAATTTTGTAAGGCGAAATTATCAATTCAAGTTACATTATGTATGCGTGTGTATGTGACTCACAGTTTTTATGCCATAAGAGATGGTGGTGCAGATACGACAAATCAATTTAAGTTTAAATGCAATTGTATTATCTGTAAGTTTTAAATAGTTTTACAAAACTGGCCGTGGTTTTGCTTGGATCGACAACGGTCGATGTTTCATTTTCGAAAACACCTACCGTTAAATGGATTGCACGATTAGTACAATAGAAACTAGAACAAACGTTTTATTCCATCGCTCAGACCTAATTTCGGACACATAAATATCTCAAAATATTCTCGAAATTGCACAGTAACTCAGTTTAATTAAGTGAACACATTATGTAGTTAGCCGTATTGATGCATTACAGACGGCTAGCAGGTTTACCTACACCTTTTAATCAAATTTGTTTATTCGATTTTCATCTTTATTTTTTTGGTCTAAAGTCGAAAATCCAATGAAGAAATTTGATAGAAAGGAGTAGGTTGATTAGGGGCTGTCTTCACATTATTCGTTCAGTATCTCGATTTATAAAGCAAAACAATGCATCTATATTTTTACTACAAGAACTAACATAGGATTTATTTTGTACAGTGCGGCCGACGTATCTTGGCGAGTCTGAAGTTAGCCGTTTGTCTGCGCAATGGATCTGTTAGGAACAAAATTGTGTACTGCGCAGCTAATCGGCTAACTTCAGACTCGCCAAGATACGTCGGCCGCACTGTAGAAGTAGTTGCTTGGTAGATTGTAGAAGTCATTTGTTTTGTTAAATATTTATAGTCCAGTCATTTTAGGTTTCATCTGGGGAAAAA